TGACTGTAGAAGACCAAGTTCAAAAGCAAGAACCAGAATTACAGACCGAAGACACGACCAATCAGAGCGCACCATCCACGTCCGAGCAAGAGGCATTGCAGAGTGTAGCCGTGACAGCAGAGGTAGAGGAAGAGGTAGAGAAAGAGAGCGGTGAACAGGGAGAGGATTCAGATGCAAGGGGAACAAAAAGGAAAATGGAAGATCGCGAGGAAGGAGAATCTTCTGAACAAGGCACCGAAAAGAAAAAGGTTTAGATTTCTTTCTCTTAGGTCCAGAACGCATACTGTGTGAATGCATTGCCCTTAGCAACACAGGCTTGGATTGATTCAAAATTTTGCCTTTAGTATGTTATGTATTATTTGTATAATAGCAATCTACTTACTATAAACAATTGATAACTAGCAGACTGTGTTGGTAACGACTCGTTGACAAGTCAGGTACCAAAATTTAAAAAAATTAAATTTTTGTACACTACAGTTCAAAAGTTTGGGGTCAGTAAGATTTTTTTTAAATACCTTAATTTTATTTAGTAAGGATGCAGTAATAGTGAACAAAAGACATTTTTAATGTTACACAAGATTTCGGATTCAAATAAATGCTATTATTTTGAATTTTCTATTCATCAGTGAATACTGAAAAGGGGTTTCTACAAAAATATTAAGCAGTGTAACTATTTTCAACACTGATGGTTATGAGAATAATTGCACACCAAATCAGCATATTAGAATGATTTCTGACAATAAAGACCTGAGTAATGGCTGCTGAAAATGCCAGCTTTGCACGGGAATACATTACATTTTGAAATGCTAAAATAGAATACAGATATTTGATGGTGATATTTCACAGTATTACTGTATTTTTGATCAAATAAATGCAGCATTAGTGAGCATAAGAGACTTATTTTTAAAAACATTAAAAAAAAAAAAATATCTTACAGACCCCAAACTTTTGCTTGGTAATGTGTATTTTGGTTACCGCAGTACTCTTTCGTGCACTGAGAAACCCTAATGTTGTGTTCTCAGAAATACTGCAAAGGCCAGCTACCTTAGTAATGACACTGTTAAATGTCAACCTTTCCAAGTAACTGTATTTTCTTGAATATTGATGATTGTTACCGCTACGGAGTATGTAGAACAGCAAGGATTCACAACACATAAGCATGTGCATACTTGCATGAAGTAGCTTCTGGCTTCAGTTCGGATTAGTTCTTTAAACAATTGAGGAAGCCAAAACAAACGAGAATGCCTTTTATGTATTGTAATGTCTTTTGTGTGCAGTGTTTACTTGTTAACTACTTGACTTGTACTGTTTACTCTGGTAATGGCATGTAAACAATTTTTGTAGCTTATTCAGAGCATTTCTCTCCAGCACATTCTCTCTAACTCGCTCTCTCTTCTTACTCAATCTCTTTTCCAGATGGATGAGGCAATGGCTTCCATGCTGGCTGACTTTGTTGACTGTCCACCAGATGATGACGATCACAGTGCCTCCCAATCCCAGTCCTAACATGACCAAATGTCTCATTCACTCAATTGTCACATCAAAGGAGCTTTCCAATGAATAGTGAGATCCTGAAAGGTCCCTCATAGTCATATTTGACTGATACTGTTGCCTCAAACTCTGCTGTCGTTGCACTAGAACAGCTCCAGATTGGTTTCTTTGAAAGAATTTGAGGTTTTCAGGTTAAAAGAAACCGTTGATAATGTTAAAGAATGCAAAAACTGTTCACAAGTTGAGAATAATAGAGTTTTAGGTGGTCATGATAGGTATTTTTCTTTTTCTGGCAGCTTAATGCAAGTATGATGTATGGAAGCCCGTTTCCGCCACTGAATAAAAAATTTAAAAAGGTAATTGCGACTTTTTATCTCAAAATTCTGACTTTTTTTCTCAGAATTGCGTGATACAAACTCACAATTGCGAGTTATAAAGTCAGAATTGCGAGAAAAAAACTCGCAATTCTGACTTTTTTTCTCGCAATTGCGAGTTTATATCTCGCAATTCTGACTTTTTTTCTCAGAATTGCGTGATATAAACTCGAAATTGCGAGTTAAAGTCCAATTTTGAGGGGGGAAAAGACTGATATGTTCTCAGAATTGCGAGTTTATATCTCACAATTCTGA